TTGACAGTAATGGCATAATAGTAAATTCAGTGATAAAGTAATGGCGTAATGGTAAATTCAGTGATAAAATAAAGGTATAATGGCATAATGGTAAATTCAGCGATAAAATAAGGGTATAATGGTAAATTTGACGAAAAAAAGTAACACCGTCAGTAGTAAAGTAACGGTGTTAACATCAAAGGGCGAGTATGCAGGCAAATATATAATAGAAGGGGGTTTGACGCAATTTCTAAATTACGAGGGGAAAACGTGCAGATTTAGTATATTACAGGGGAGTTTGGTGCAATTTACCCTACTGAAATACATAAATACAACCGGCTCAAAAGCCGAATAAGGGAGGCCTACCCACAGTAGCCTAGAAACCACAACACAATATTACAAAAACACAAAAACTCCCCAACGAGATAATACAAACTTCCCAACGGAAGAATACACACTTCCCAACGGAAGAATACACACTACCCAACGGGAGAATACAAACTCTCCAATGGGAGAATAAACACTCCGGAAACAGTGAAAAACACAAACTCAAGCTAACAGCACAACACCAACACACCAACAAAACACAAAAACAACATAAAAGATAGAAAATAATTAAAATAGAGCCCTTCCCACAACAGTGAAACCAAACCGGACACAAACCGACACCGACACCATCACCCACGGACAACCACCCACACAAATCGAGATCGGGTCCAAATCGCAAAGCCAGGAACTGCAAATGACGCCTAACTAGATCCGAGACAAAGACCCTACTCCACTTGGATAGACCATCCGTCGATCCGCAACCGGAGAACCAAAATAAGCTCCACCATACCAACCCCACTACCAAGGCCCAGCACACAAGACCGGACCCCGACACGCCTCCGCCATTGCAACCGAGAAGGCCCAAAAAGCAGAGAAAAATAGGGGACGGGAGGGGAGCGAACCAGCCTGTTCTCAGCTCCGACTGTTATGGATTTACAGATTGCTGAGGGGGATTTTGATAATTTGAAGATGAAGAGAAGTGATGAAGAAATGTCGAGCACGATAGATGGGAAATTGGAGAAGAAAAAGACACAAGCTAGGGTTTTGTCTGAATTGGGGAAGGAGTTTGAGAAGCCGACGCGTGGCACAAACGATGGAGTACAAAATGAGAGCTTGGGGGCAAATCTGACCGCACACGTGGAGCCAAAATGAAGACCTTTTAAATTATTAATTAAATCTGGAAATT